GAGTTTGTCAACTGTGTGTCTCAAAATCCACAATCGGTGTAGCAATAGGGACAACCTCTCTTTGTACAAAGGATGGAAGATTGTTGCTGTGGAAATAACAAATCGATGGGATGCTCTTCGTCTAGTTATCAGTTTTTTTTTAGCTATATTAATGACGACAGAAATGATAGAATAAGGAAAAAAAAGAAACGAAAGTTTCCAAGTTTTATGTAATCCTGCATGCACTGATAATTGACTAAATGGTCAATGTATCGATCCTCGAATTTACCGCAGGGTTCATATATTATACATATATACTATGATATACATCTCAAAAATTAGTTTTGAATCAGTTCTTGTGTAAAAAATATTAATAATCTGAATTTTGATTTACCCCTTTAATTCAAATGATCATTAATATTACTACTCTGTGGGTTGACAAACTCAGACGTATCGCTTGCCCTCACACCATTTTATTATTTTGTACTACCTTCATTTTGCGTGCAACTAAATAATGTATAGACCCGATTTTATTTTGTATATATAATAAACTGTTGACATGCCTTGTTTGGCTGAAACCACACTTGCCTTTTAATGAATGGAAACATGTCTAAACAGAATACAAACCTCGGGACTATTTGATCAGTTTAAAAAATCATTATTTTCTACTAGACTAAGTACTGTCCATACTTCTTTAAAGGCCTTAAATTACAGATTTTTAAAAGATAAAATTGAATTTGAAAACTGTTTTGATAGTTTAGAGGATAGATTATTTCAGGTTTATGCAAATTAAGAACGTCAAAGCGTAAGTTATCAATTTGATTTGGAGAGAGAAATAATATTGCGGGGGAAGATAGATTATATATGTTCTCTCAGTTGAAGCGGAAGAATGGAGACGAATTTTATTATATTTTTTTCAACACTCAGAGGAAAATACTCTTGATGTCAGGTTTCATTGAACTTATCATTTTAATGTATAAAAGTAGAATGTCGCCAAGAAATAAATAAGTATTGAATAATTGCAAATTTTATCATGGTCCATATCTAATGTTAGAGTACTGCATTTTGTATGTTAAACCATATTTCTGTACAAAGAGAGATAACTAATTTTTTTAAAGACATTCTTTGGTTAATTGTTTGAAGTGTTTTATTTTTTTTGTAAAAACTAATTTTCTGAATGCTATATACATATAAAAAAATTATGAAGTGAAATCTTTTAATTAGATAATAATCTATTTTTATTAAGGTATATATTTCATTACATTACATTGTGTATTGATAAAAGTTGTTGACATTTTATAGATAAGTTACAAATCTATATTATTTTGTGACAAATAAAAGAAAAAATATTTGGAACTATTAATTATATTTGATTATAGACAAGACAAGAGACAGACAAGACAAATACTTTATTAAAGTCTCACCTTATGTACATACATATAAAACATATACATATATAAAAACAGCGTATACATAAACCTGAGTACGAGAGACTGATTAAAACACATATACATAAAAGAAATGTATAAACAATCATTAAACCTGTGTAACATCGACATATATAAAAGGTTAATTTCAGCTTATACATAAAACACTCAAAAAAGAGTAAAGAGAAACTGATTAAAACATATTGACATAAAACATATAAAAGTAATGTATATACAATCATTAAACATATAAAACACTTTTTCTTTTCAATAATATATCATGGCAGATTTTGGCAGTGTAAAATTGCATATCATCATTATTAAACATAAATATAAGTTTTTCATCATCAAGCATATTTATAAAACTATCATCAAAGTGACTAGCACGAGTAAAAAAGCTTTCACGTAAATCTGCATATATTGGACATTGCAATAAAACATGTTTTTCATTTTCAATATCATTACAATTAAAACACAACCTTTTTTCTAAACATAAATTCTCGTATCTTCCTGTTTCTATTCTAATAGGTGCAACGCCACACCGAAATTTAGACAGAGCACTCCTGTATTTACCAGGCATATTTTTAATCAAATAATTCTCAACACCATATAAACATTTGAATTCTCTGTAAGTTCGCAATTTACTTGTATCATTAGACATCAATTTTCTTAACCAATCCTGCTTAAAATTTTCAAATAATACATTTTCGATACCTTTTATATCATTCTTACTTAAAATATAATTAGTATTACATAAATTATTCATACCAAGACTAATAAATTTGGCATTTACTCTAAATTGCCAATTTTTTATTCTACCCTTTCGATAGGAATTACTCCATAAAAAAACTTTTTTATTCAACCTCTCATCACACATTTTTGTTAATCGTGACCAGTTTCTAAATACACAAGACCATTGCTTAATACTACAAGGCATCCAGCCCATATCACCATATAATGACAGATTTGGTGTGTATTTTCCGACACCCATAAAAAAGCGCATGGCTCTATTCTTCACACTGTTAATACATGATAAATCCTTTGTACCCCATATGGCAGCACCATATTCAATAACAGACCAAACTAATGAATCAAAAAGTTTTGTAAATGTGGAGTACTGAAAACCTCCATTAGCTTTACACTTGGATATTAATAACCCTAATGATCTACTAGCGGATTTTGCAACCGCTTTTGCCATATCATCATAACTCAAAAATTCAGTAAAAAGTAAACCAAGATAATTATAATGAGATACAGTATCTATTTTGTTACCATTAAATAAAAATTGAAAAGTAGTTCTAGGCACAGACTGTATTCTAAAATGTACAATGTTTGACTTATCTAAATTAACTGTCATATCATTTTTATTGCACCATGTATTGAGTGTATCTAACAGTTTTTGTAAATCTTTCTCATTTTCAGTTAAAAATACAACATCATCTGCATACAGTAATATACAAACTTTATCATTATCAATATTAATACCAATATTTAACCTTTTAATATCATCAATTAAATCATTTATAAAAATATTGAACAATAATGGCGATAATATACACCCTTGTTTTAAGCCACAATTTACGTTAAACAAATCAGTAAAATTACCGTTAATCTTAACACAAGACTGAACATTTCTATACAAAGAATGTATTACCTGCAGCATTTTCGAACTTATTCCTAATGACTGTAGTTTACAAAACAATAAATCTCTATTAATCCAATCATAGGCCTTTTTAAAGTCAATAAACGCAATATAAGTTGAAAGTTTTCGAAGTTTTCGTGTTTATAACTTGAAAATAAATATACATTGTATTACATCATATTTAATTTTAGAGAACCATTAATCACATCTAATGTTAGAGTGTTTTCCACACTTTTTTTCATCATGCTTGAAGATATTGATTGATAATTGGTATATAGTTTTATCATGACATGTTACAGATCAAGTTCAAATTTTGTTTCGGTCTGATAATTGTGTTCCTTGGACTTGAAAAATTCACTCGTACAATCAGTTTTCCACACTGTTTTTAGTCATGCTTGTAGATATTGACTTGATATTCTCTTTTTGTTTACACCATGACAAGTTATAGAATTTTGTTCCAGTATAATGAATTTTTACCCGGTAGCTAGGGGACTATGTATTGCCTTGCAATACTCTCAGAATGCTTGTTTAATATAAATTGTCATCCTGCCTTTTTTTAACTTAAAAACTACTGTCCTGCTTTTTTTCAAATCCCCCCCCCCCCCTCCCCCCAAAAAAAATCAAATGGTAGCTCCCTTAGTCAATAACAGATATATGATATTTCCAAATATTATCAAAATATATTTAGTTTTTTTATTATAAGGGAGATGATCAAAACTGAATAATTTTTTCTCCGACGAACAAATTTAGCCGTAACGGTTATAAAAATTCGGTATTTATTTAATTTCTTGTTGTTTGTTATGTTTTGTATTCTCTGTTCCAAATCGGATAGTATTGAAAACTAATAAACAAGAATGCCTGTGAATTTCCGATAACTCCTTTATAAATACGACCGTTACTTGGGTCTAAATACCCCTCCTGGATAGTCCTATAATATAAGACTTCGTAGCTTCATATCGTTTGCATTCAACGTTTTTTATCGGATTTTTTTTTACTGTCAATGCTGAACCGCGAAAAAAAAATGTCCGATTAAAACGTTGAATGCAAACGATATGAACCTACGAAGTCTTATATTATAGGACTACACTCCTGGACATTCCGAATACTTTTGGGATATTCATCATGGGAATATTATAGTAAATTGTAAATGTATTTGCAACAAAGCTTTCTTCTTTTGTCTTGTAAACGGTTAAATAGAAGATCATTGTTGTAACCACACATATATATCCTATACAAAATTTTGTCTGTGAAAGTGATCATGATAAAAAAAAAAGTAGTATTGACTTAATTACTGATACCTGTCAGCTCTAAATAGTCCAATTTATTCATAATAACTTTGATTTTTGTGTATACATTTAAAATCAAAAGATACAGAAAAATTTACGAAAACTGTCATTAAATTTCCAATTTACTGAATCAAAGTTCATTCGTTTAAACTTGTTATTTAATCTAATATAAATTTCAGTTAAATTATCTTATATTAGTAGTTTGTAATGAAAATAAACGTATATGTAAACTAAAAGTTTATTGAAGCAAAAACTAAGTTTAAACCTTTTAAATAACAAATTAAAACTTGTATTATTTTCCAGATAAACAACAAATTTAATAACCCATATATTAGAATTAAACACTAGAAAACTTGAAATTTCACAAAATCATTAAATTTTCTTAAAGTTCTAAAATAATTCTTCGTAAATCAGAGCTTAAATTTGAAAGTGGAAATTTATTATTAGAAAAAATTGGTAAACGTATCATTTCATACAGTGAAATTGCATAGAATCGAGGTTATTATTACTCGTCGAAACCAGAGTAGTAACAGACAATGGTGTACTCCTCCCCGGCTGTTCATTCATTACCCCCCGAAATATTATCAAAAGATAACTAAGCGCCCGTACAAATACAAACAAAACAAAAACTCTACACTTTAAAGGTAAAAACTTTTTCTTTTGTAGAATTATCTTAGCTACATTTTCATGCTGTTTATTTGCTGCAGTGCCAAAGTTTAGCGACTTGGATACATGGAAAGAAAATTCGTTGTTAGCTGGAACATTTGTAATTTGCAGTTGTATACTGTTATATTACATTGAAAAAAGGTATTTCTTCAGAAACTATTGTTACCCGAACTGTAGAAATATACATACAGATCTTTATAAGTGCATTTGTACTTTTATGTGTTACTTAAAATAATAATTTCCAATCAAGGGCAATTTCATAAGTATTTTATCTATGTGTTTTTCCTACATGTTAATGTATGCATGTGTTACTAATTAAACATATTCTAAACAATTAAAAGGTATAACGCATGTTTTTTCTTTAAGTAATGCAACCAAGTGTTGGAGAAATAAAAATCTTTCGCAAATGAACCTTTTTTAGTATCTTCGAAACACTAGTTCGTACCAGTGAAACCCAGTCTTATTAAAAGTTATTTCAAATCCACTGTCGTTTATTTTTAAAATTTTAGCTGTTTAACTACAAAATTAAGGTATGCTATTTGAAATATACATGTAAATGTATATTAAAATTGAGAATGGAAACGAGGAATGTGTCAAAGAGACAACAACCCGACCAAAGAGCAGAAAACAGCCCAAGGCCACCAATGGGTCATCAACACAGCGAGAAAATCCTGCAACCGGAGGCGGGCTTCAGCTGGCCCCTAAACAAAAATGTGTACTAGTTCATAGAAAATGGACGTCACACGAAAATCCGAAACATATAAATGGACCGAAATTAAAAAAACTTACAAGACTAACAATGGCCAAAGGTTCCTCACTTGGGACAGGCGCAAAAATGTGGCGGGGTTAAACATGTTTTGTGAGATCTCAACCTTACCCTATACCTCTAGCCAATATAGAATAAACAAACACACAGCAATACGTGTAGTTAAACTCAATTTAAAAGAAGTCCGAGTCCGGAAGAAAATAAGCAAAATGACAATGATAACATAAATTAATAAAGGACTACTAGCAGTTACTGACATGCCAGCTCAATTAGACTGATTGAAAGATTATGTCTTTATCATATGAAAATCAAGCACAATCCCTCCCGTTAGGGGTTTAGTATCATACCATCATAAAATATACGAGTAACATAACCCGTATCATGCCAACAACTGGTTTTAGAATAAATGTGTTTATTTCCGATGCAAAGACCCTATGAGTGAATCAATATTAATTCCAAAAATGCCATCTTTAATGACCTGACAACAGTATCGTAACTATATCTCTTCTGAATAAGTCTGTTTTAAGTTTGGTTAGCTTTTGAGGTGAATGACGACATTTTTGTGCTTTGTATAGAATATTACCATAAAAGATTGGATGTGAAATACCTGAACGTATAAGATGTCTGTACGTTCATTTCTGTTTTTATTAATTTTAATTTGATAGACGCTTGTTAAACTGATATCCAATATATATATATATTATTATATTTGTATATATACTATATTTGTATTATATTTGTCTTCGGGATTATATGATCCGTTCATCCTATTTCGACTCTTCAAAATTCAAGAGTCTATCCTAAATTGAGGTAAATTATATGGCTTTCCAAATACCGTTTCGATTCCTAACATCACTGAAGAGAATAATTGTCGAAATCCGGATATGGTGTACTAATTTTTGCACCTTTTGTTTTCGGTAAACCGTCTTTTCCGCAAGTTTATTATTTTCTGTTTGGTATTAAATTAATAGTCAAGATCCATTTTGTTACATCTGGAGATCCGTTTATTTGGCAATCGCCAATGGCAGTCAGCAGGTTTTAAGAACATCCGTTGTTCGACCTGCTAGTCAAATGCGTTTTGTTAACATGTACTATTTCACTTTTTAGGTTTTTGGAAAATGTTGTTTGTGCTGTATTTAGACCCCTCTACCAAGAAATTTGTTTTGCATGCACATGTATAAAAATTGCGGTTTTTATCAAACGCAATCATAGGTTTGAATGTTGTTTTCAATTTAGACTTATTTATATTTTTTCGTTTGGGCTTGTATCATATTTGCCTTCGGGTTTATATGATCCATTCATCCTATTTCGACTCTTCAAAATTCAAGAGTCTATCCTAAATTGAGGTAAATTATATGGCCTTCCAAATACCGTTTCGATTCCTAACATCACTGAAGAGACATTAATTGTCGAAATCCGGATATGGTGTACTAACTTTTGCACCTTTTGTTTGCGGTATACCATCTTTTCCGCAAGTTTATTGTTTTCTGTTTGGTATTAAATTAATAGTTAAGATCCATTTTGTTACATCTGGTGATCCGTTTATTTGGCAATCGCCAATGGCAGTCAGCAGGGTTTAAGAACATCCGTTGTTCGACCTGCTAGTCAAATGCGTTTTGTTAAAATATACTATTTCACTTTTTAGGTCTTTTGGAAAATGTTGTTTGTGCTGTATTTAGACCCCTCTACCAAGAAATTTGTTTTGCATGCACACGTATAAAAATTGCGGTTTTATCCAACGCAATCATAGGTTTGAACGTTGTTTTCAATTTAGACTTATATATATATAATTTAGACCCCTCTACCAAGAAATTTGTTTTACATGCACACGTATAAAAATTGCGGTTTTTATCCAACGCAATCATAGGATTGGACGTTGTTTTCAATTTAGACTTGTATATAATTATATATATATATGTCTAAATATGTTACAACTTTACGACAGACACTCTCCATCGGATAACCAGTGGTTATACAGGATTAACACCATAATTTATATAATTTTTCGTCTAATATATAGCCCAACAATTCTGCAAATTATCGTTAGCAAATTTTAGTTCTTCCCTCAGCGGGATTCGAACCCTTGCATCGGAGGCATCGTGGCAACACTGCCTGCATTGTGTCCAGCGCCCTAGACCACTCGACTAACTATGCTTTCGTTAGTCTAGTAATGCTTTTCCTCGTCGGCTTTATCTTGGGTTGTAATGATGTATAGTGGCAAGAAGATGGTATACCTTGCAGATCTGCTGTTTTTTGTATGTCATAAAGGAGGATAATTTTACTTGCCATGCCGTCACATCAAGTTTTTAAACCTTCATTTAATATCAATATCAACATTGTTGCTTTGTCTTTCGAACTCTCTTATAATTTGACGATTTTAACGATATTAAATCATAAAGAACACTGGCGATATTGAAAGTTTGTCTTTATTATGACAGAAAATTACAAAAATGGTCCCTCGTATTAAGATTTTTCTGATTATTGAACTTATCTGAAGTTTTGAGTGCGTTTTGCCAGACACTCAAGTGGATGAGGAGTAAAAATAAACAGCCAAAATGAACATCAAAATAAGATCTAGTGATAAGTCAATATGACAAAAGCCGTCAGTCGACTTGTAGGCTATTCGTTTCAATGACGATTTTTACTATTTTTATGATGCTTTTCGCAAAAACTATAGAAGATAATATTGTTATGCAGTAGTCAGACATAGACGATTATGTCTCCCGTTTATGAAGGCGTCACACTGTCCCAAAATTTATACCAGATGGACTCACGGTTAAGGAAATGTTAAAATTCGGATCTGATTTAAAACCATCGGGCTATTTGTTTGGGCATGTTAAGACCGCCGGTTGAGTTTTCATCCTCCGGCATTAACTTCGTGAGCGGTGACAAAATCTTGGTCATGCCAAAAATTTCCGAAAGACCTTGCGAAGGTTTATTTTCGTGTTGAATTCGCGATCGGAATCGAAGGAAACACGGATGCTGTCCGAATGTCTTAGAAGGCCACATGACAATGTGAAGCCCTCGCAATTCCGTCGTGTAGCCATCGTATTTTAGTACGATGACATCGAGATGGGACAATGGTGTCCACGAAGACAGCCGTATTTGAGTAGCTCAAGCTTTTCACATGCGTCATGGTAACGTGGACATATAAAAGGCCAGCCTCAGAGCATCTTGCTCAGGACTGATACAGGACTAACACCATTATCACAATTCAGTTCCTGCAGAATGGTATACTTTGATGATGAGACAGTCATGAAAAATAAGGCATCAGCATTGCTTCTTTTGATGCATCTCAGAGAAAATAATGAGCAACTCTTACCGGCCCATTAACTCCTCTAACATGTAAAAATTGTCTTATTTCACTTTTCATATCTTGCTATTTACCTTTCTTATATTGAACAATGCCATTATCTTGTTTTGCAGTTTATTTTCCAGCGCAGGGACAAACCGAGGCGAAGGAGGAATCCTATGTTTATGTGGGTCATAAAATGGCTGTTTGACAAAAGAAGAGAACACTATGGCAACCATAGCACTCTACTAAAGGAGCCGGAAGATCAAAAGGCCTTCTACAACTACACAAGACTTTCCAGAGGCCTCTGTGATGAGGTCCTGCGAAGGGTATAAGGCAAAATAGAGAAGAACACATGTTACAGAAAGGCTCTCCCTCCTCGTCTCAAGCTGTCCATCACTGTACGAAACCTGGCCTGCGGTGACAATTATCCAAGCCGGTCCTTCAACTTCAGAGTTGCTTCAATCACCATCTCCCTTATCATCAATGCCATCAAAGCCAAGTTTGCTGTAACGGTGATCCAGTGTCCAACTACAACTGAGGAGTGGACCTCCATTGCTGGTCAGTTTGAGAATAGATGGACATTTCCACACTGCTGTGGTGCTCTTGATGGCAAGCATGTGGCAGTCACTTGTCCTTGGAATACTGCCTCTGTATACAGAAACTATAAGGGTTTCTTATCCATTGTTCTCATGGCCCTGGTCGACACAGACTACAAGTTTATCTGGATTGATGTTGGCTCTAATGGTTCCAGCAACGATGCCAGCATCTACAATGGGGCAAAACTGAAGGAAGTTCAGGAAAGTCCGTACAACATATTTCGATTTCCCTGAAGAGAAGTCTCTACTTGGTGATGACGTTCCTGCCCGATACTACATAGTAGGGTACAATGCTTTTGGGATCAACAAGCGCCTGATGAATCCGTTTCCATCAGAAACGTGGAACACCATGAGGGAATATTTAACTATAGACTCTCCAAAGCCAGGCATGTAGTGGAGAATGCCTTTGGTATTCTGGCACATAAGTTCTGAGTTTTGCTGAGGACTATGAACCAGAGACATGCAGAAAAATAATCACACATTC